TCAAATAAGATTTGGTGTGATGTCCTACCTATGGATGTAGCCCATATCCTTCTTGATCGCCCTTAGCTTTATGATTTCGATGTTACTAATCATGGCAGAGATAACTGTGTTCAAATATAAGGGAAAAACCATCATGTTAACACCCACAAAGCCAATTGAGAAAGTAAATCCGAACATAAGTTGCAATCTCAGTCTGATGCAAAGAAACACCTCCACATTTTGACCCGAAAGAAGTTTGAGAAAGAGGGAAAGGAATCAGGCATTGTACTAGCACTAGTTGCCAAGGAAGTTCCTGAAGAACCTTCTGATGAAGTGGTGGATCCACCTCCAGTTGAGGTCACTAAGTTGTTACAAGAATTTCAAGATGTGACACCGGAGGAGTTGCCTAATGAATTACCTCCCATGAGGGATATTCAACATGCAATTGACTTAGTTCCAGGATCCCAATTGCCTAACCTCCCTCATTATCGAATGAATCCTAAGAAGCGTGTTGAATTGAAAAGGCAAGTTGATGGACTTTTGCATAAAGGTTTTATTAGAGATAGTCTTAGTCCATGTGCTGTGCCAGCTCTTTTGACTCCTAAGAAAGATGGTTCTTGGAGAATGTGTTTGATAGCCGAGCCATTAACAAAATCACAATCAAGTACAGATTTCCCATACCTCGTTTAGATGATATGTTGGATGAAATGGCTGGTTCCCAGTGGTTCGCCAAGATTGACTTGCATAGTGGTTACCACCAAATCCACATTAGACCAGGTGCCGAATGGAAAACCGCCTTTAATTCACACGATGGACTTTATGAGTGGCTAGTCATGCCCTTTGGGTTGTCAAATGCACCAAGTACATTCATGAGGGTCATAACTCAAGTCCTACGTCCTTTCATAGGAAAATTTTTGGTGGTTTACTTTGATGATGTTTTAATTTATAGCCGGTCTAAAGGAGAACACTTAAGCCACCTTCGACAAGTTTTTGAGGTTCTTCGAGTTGAAAAGTTATATGTTAATCTCAAGAAATGTTCTTTCATGAAGACTGAAGTGATTTTCCTAGGATTTATTGTCTCTGCGCAAGGAATTGCTGCAGATCCCGAAAAGGTAAGAGCAATTAAAGAGTGGCCTGAACCTAAATCCATTTCAGAGGTTCGTAGTTTCCATGGTTTGGCTACTTTTTATAGGCGGTTTATCAAGGGATTTAGTTCCATTATGGCTCTATCACAGATTGCTTGAAGAAAGGGGAGTTTAAACGGACTGCACCAGCAGCGCGAGCCTGTAATGAAATCAAGCAGAAAATGACTAAAGCACCAGTTCTACGTCATCCTGACTTCTCCAGTGTCTTTGAGGTTGCTTGTGATGCGTCTGGAGTTGGAATAGGAGGTGTCTTAAGTCAAGAGGGTCAACCCATCGCGTACTTCAGCAAGAAGCTTAATGAAGCTAAACAAAAATATTCTACTTATGAGAAAGAGCTGTACGCTGTTGTCCAGGCACTCCGCTATTGGCGATATTATTTGTTGCCTCAAGAGTTTGTTTTATACTCCGATCACCAAGCCTTGAGGTACATTCAGTCCCAAAGAAAGTTAAGTGCAAAACATGCAAAATGGGTTGCTTTTCTGCAAGAGTACACTTTTGTGCTCAATCACCATAAAGGCTCAGAAAATAAGCCTGCTGATGCTCTCAGTCGAGTTGTAGCTGTTCTTCAAGCTATGAGTGTCAATGTTATAGGCTTTGAAAGGATGAAGGATGAGTACTCCACTTGTCCTGACTTATGGGAAATATTTTCAGAGATTCAGAATGGTAACCGTAGAGATTATGTTGACTTTGTGATTAGAGACGGTTATCTATTCCGAAGCTCTAGACTTTGCATTCCAAGCACCTCGATTAGAGATTTCTTAGTCTGGGAGTTACATGCGGGAGGACTTGCTGGTCACTTTGGTAGAGATAAGACAATTCCCCTAGTAGAGGACAGATTTTATTCGCCTTCTTTAAAGGGTGACGTTGCTAGGATCATTTCTCAGTGTCGCACATGCCAGCTGGCTAAAGCTAAGAAGAGGAACACTGGATTGTATACCCCTTTGCCTGTCCCACACATGCCATGAGAGATCTTAGCATGGATTTTGTTCTAGGGTTGCCTAAGACCTCTAGCAAACATGATTCGATCTTAGTTGTTGTGGATAGGTTCTCTAAGATGGCTCACTTCATTCCTTGTAGCAAGACAGCCGATGCTTCGCATGTGGCTAAGTTGTTCTTTGGAGAAATTGTTAGGCTCCATGGATTACCCATTTCCATTGTGTCTAATAGGGATGTAAAGTTTTTGAGTTACTTTTGGAAGACACTTTGGAAACTCTTTGGGACTAATTTGAAATTTTCCTCTGCTTTCCATCCCCAAACTGATGGTCAGACCAAGGTTGTTAATAGAAGTTTAGGAGACTTACTTAGGTGTCTGGTTGGAGAGCGCCCGGGTATATGGGATTCGCTGTTACCTACAGCTGAGTTTGCATATAATAGTTCGGTGAATAGGTCTACTGGTAAGAGCCCTTTTGAGATTGTTTACAGTTTTTCCCCTCACCAACCTGTTGACCTTATTCCTTTACCACCTGAATCCTGTCCCTCTGAGTCTGCTGATTCCTTCGCCCAGCACATCCGTGATGTTCATGCCGATATAAGACAGAAAAATTGCTCTAAGTAATGAAAATTATAAAATTGCTGCTAATGCTCATCGTAGGAATAAAGAATTCAATGAAGGAGATTATGTTATGGTTTGTATACGCAAAGAGCGTTATCCTAAAAACTCCTTCAAGAAATTGCATGCCCGTGCCACTGGCCCATTTCGTATCATTCGTAAGTTGGGACCTAATCCTATGAGTATTAGTCCAATTTTCAATGTGGATGATTTGTTTCCTTACTGAGGCACCTTTGAGCCTCCCACTTTTCCAGCAGGTATACCCACAGGTGGAGTTACATCTTCATGTATACCAGTGACAGTTCTTCCACCGATTCAGCCACCGAGTACAGATCAGATTGCAGAGATACTTGACCACCAAATTATTGCTTCACATCAGGGTGGTTATCAGCGATACCTTGTCCGTTGGAGAGATTGTCCAGATACAGATGATGCATGGATCACAGAGGATGAGCTTTGTCGCATTGATCCAGATCTTTTGGAGCAGTATCACGAGCTTTACTCTCCAGAGGAGAGTTCTTCTCAGCCGGGGAGAATTGATGGAGATCCCGAGCCAAGTGGTCTACGCACTTACTATAGGCGTAGGCGCAGAGGATGATTTCTGATTTATTCTATTTTATTTTATATTCGGCTTTCCTTATTTATTTAGGGATTATGTTCCCTGATTTTTATATTTGACTTTCTTTAATCTTTCCTTATTTATTTAGGGATTATGTTACTTAATTTTTATATTTGACTTTCTTAATTATTTGGGGTTTTAAGCCTATATATACAGCTGATGGAGGCATTGTGATGGACGTTTTATGAATATTGATATTGAGATTATTGTGGAAATTTCTTCTCTCTGTATTCTTCTTCTTCCCCAACTCTATTCTTCTTCCCCTACATCAAACTCACTGTCAAATCATTCTTTTAACTTGTCACTTGCAGGAAGGACGGAGCTAGTTAAATCTGTGATTTCTTCATACTCCCTCGGTCCCAAAAAAATGACCCTTTTGGGGAACCGTGAATTTGTGAGTTATGGTTCCCAAAAGAGACAATTTTTTTGGGACAGATGGAGTACTATTATTTGCCGGTCTGCTGTTTTTTTCAATTCCTAGTGGTGTTCAGCTGCATATTGAGAGGAAGATAAGGAATTTTCTTCAATGTGGCAATTTTGAAAAAAGATTTGCAGTTTTGTTTAGTTGGGAGAAGGTTACTCTTCCAAAAGCTGAAAGAGGCTTGGGCATTAGAAGTTTCCAAAGTATTGATTTGTCATGTAAGTGTATTTTGCTCAAGGACTTTCTTCATTCTAAAGAAGCTCTTTGGGTCAAGTGGTTTAAAGATAATTATGCTAACAGGGGACACTTTTGGATATGATTGCTAAATCATCTGATTCAGTAGTGTGGAAGTCTATTCTGGATCCTTGGTTTCATGGAGTCATTCTACAGCAGATGTTTGGGCTATAAAGACTTTTATCTGCTGATTTTCAGTTTTCAGATTGTGTTGATGTTCTTTGGGATTATAACAGATTGTCAGTTCCTGCATCTTGGCCTCAAAATATACCAGGTTTCTTGAATAATTCTTCTAATCATTTAGAGGAGGATGCTATCATTTGGAATCCTGGTTCTTTTTGTTTCAAATCACGTTGGAATGCTCGTAGGACTGATGGATTAAGAATTCCATGGTACTCTCTGGTTTGGAATGGCTGCAGGCCTAGGATATCTATTATTGCGGTCTTAGTCCTGCATAATTCAAATCATTCATTCTTCAATTTGAGGAGAAAGGGGTTGATGCATTTGCCCTCTATTTACCATAATTGCTATTCTGGAGAGGACTCTAATTATCATCTCTTTGGACATCTGGTTATGCTACTTCTGTATGGCAATGGTTCATTCAACTTTGTGGGTGGGAGAGTTTACTTCAAGTTCAGTCTTTTAATGCAGCAACTCAGTGGTTTATCTCATATTCTCCTTCTTCTATGAGGAAGAGACCGGCCTGTTGTTTTTAGACTAGTGTTGTTTGGTGTCTCTGGTCATAGAGGAACCGAAGACTTCATGAGGGTTCAGTCATCTCTGCTCATCTTTTGGCCATGGAAGCTTGCATTGAAGGGTTATCTTCGTTGGGACTATCTCTAGCTGATCTTCAAGTGCTATTCTAGCAGCTTGTTTGTCTTTGTTTTTCTTTCTGGAGGTTTAGGGGAAGCCTGGGCCTGTTTTGTTTTGGTTGTCTCTATAGCAACCTCTTCTTCTTTCTGTTTTTCATTGTAATATTTTCTTTGTATCAATAAACTCTAAACATTCAGGGGACAATAAATAAATAAAAAGAGTCTCACATGCACAACATACCTTCGTTGGACATTTTGCTTCAGCAAATGTCTCTGCAAGCTGAGCAGCATCTGTGTTTGATGTTACCCCTATAAAGATTCCAAATTTTCATAAACGAAAATTTTGAAAAAAATAATATGTTAAATGTAGAGTCATCAAAAGGTTAAGTCTGTACCTAATCCATCCATTCCACTTGGTGATGGCCATAATAGTGTGTTGAATAGTTAGGGTAAAAATTAAAAGGGAGCATGAATATACCTCCAAAAATGACAAGGCCATCCAACTTCAAAGTATTGGATGCGACCAATGCAGCGTTAACTTGCTCAGTTGTTCTTATTTGATCTTGTGTTTGTCCCAGCAAATCATAGCCACCTGGCAGGATTACAACACTTAAAAAAAATTTCTAGATGAAAAATCAAAATTTCTTTGTGAATACGGTCTAGTGCTCATAAGTACCTTGGTTTTTGTAGGTTGCAAGAATGTCATCTGTGATCTCAAGAGTTTTCTGCGCAAATAAACCTTCAGAACCACCTGGTAATAGGCATAAAAGAATACTTTTAAGATAAAAGTCATTTTCCTCGATAGAAAATCAGATTAAAAGGTTTCTCTTAGTCAAGAAAAAAAAAAGTATGTTTAGTACAAAACTGTTGCGACAAACCCAAGAACAAATCCAGAAACACGACAGAAAAGTAATCACACCACACGCAAAGAACACAAAGATTTAGCGTGGTTCGGCAAAGCCTACATCCACGGTGGAGATCCGGCGAAAGTTTTCACTATGCGAAAAATAGGAGATTACAAGTTTCAGCCCCTAAACCCTAGCTCTCGCTCACTCTCTTTCTCTGCGTTTTTCAGTGTCTCAATAATTCCACTCTGTTATAGATATAAAAGTTGAAGAAAGAAATTAAACAAGAACAAAAGGATACACACACAAAGCCCAGAGGGCTACATTACCTTTATTACTCTCTTAATATTGTTTAGAATCATCACCTCTCTTTATAGGTGTATTGAAGATTAATTGGAGGAATTAGTGGAGAAATCTTTCAGTAACTGATGTTGTTTCCTATTATTGAAGATTTGGCATTATTAAAGGAATCAGTGGAGAAAAATCCTCCTTGTTTCCTATTTTCTAATTCTTTCCATTCTCATAATTTCTTCTCCTATATAAAGGAGCCTACACCAATGTATTATATATGAATTGAGAGGGTATTATATAAGTGTTGTAGCCCTTTGGGCTCTTTGTGCCTTGGATGTAAGCCCTAGTGGCTAAACCACGTAATATCTGTGTGTTCTACTTGTTTTATTTATCTTTTCGCTTCCGTTTTATGCTGTACAACATGGTATCAGAGCCAAATTTCTTTTCCTAGGTTCGGACCCCTATTTTGGAGTATTCCCTTACCATCTGAAATGCTGCTAAGGGTTTCTCGATACTATTTGTGACTTGTTTAGGCTGCTGATTTATTCGGTAGTAATGTTTTTCGCCTTTGCAGTGTCTCCAGCAGTTTTTTATTGACTTATTTGGGCTGTCAATGTGTTCGGTAGCATTATCTTCATCTTTGTTGTGTCTCCAGCAGTTTTTATCAACTTGTTTGGGCTGCTGGTGTGTTCGGTAGCATTGTCCTCGCCTTTGCCGTGTCGTCAGCAGTTTTTTGTTGACTTGTTTGGGCTATCGGTGTGTTCAGTAGCATTGTTCTTCACCTTCTCTCCTCTCTCTTCATCATTCACACTTGTTGTTACTCGTCATCTCAATGGCAAGTGGGGCATTCATGCTCTAACTTGAGGGAGAGTATTGAAGATTTAATGGAGGAATCAGTGGAGAAATCTTTGAGTAATTGATGTTGTTTCCTATTATTGAAGATTTGGTGTTACTAAAGGAATCAGTGGAGAAAAATCCTCCTTGTTTCCTATTTTCTAATTCTTTCCATTTTCATAATTTCTTCTCCTATATAAAGGAACCTCCACCATTGTATTGTATATGAATTGAGAAAGTATTATAAAAGTGATGTAGCCCTTTGGGCTCTTTGTGCCGTGGATGTAGGCCCTAATGGTTGAACCAAGTAATATCTGTCTGTTCTACTTGTTTTATTTATCTCTTCGCTTCCGTTTTATGGTTTACAACAAGGTGAAAGAATACAAGTGATAAATATGGAAAATACATTGATCGATGATTCTTAAAATCAATACCATAAATCACTCCAATCAATATTCTATTATAGACTAAAATCAATTCTCCAACACCCCCCTTCAAGTTGGTACACTGAGATTTTTACTTCAGTGTCCAACTTGAAACTAAATACGAAGTTGTCGACAAGTTGGTACACGGAGATTTTAACTCAAGTGTCCAACTTGAAGCTAAATACGAAGTTGTCGAGAGTCCAAGACAAGTTGATCCGAAGATCCGAGACGAGTAGAGTGTAAAGGAGTATGATAAACCTGCTCTTATACCATGTTATAGATATAAAAGTTGAAGTGAGAAATTAAACATGAAAAACAAAAGGATACATGCACAAAGCCGAAAGGGCTACATCACCTTTATTACTCTCCTAATATTGTTTACAATCAACACCTCTATTTATAGGTGAAAGAATACAAGTGATAAATATGGAAAATACATTGATGGAGGATTCCTAAAATCAATACCATAGATCACTTCAATCAATATTCTATCATAGACTAAAATCACTCCTATGATATTGATATTCGCCAACACACTCCAAACCCTAAAAGCCATTATATATCGGTCTATAAGGGAGTACTAAACAGGGTCCACAACCCGCAAGCAAAAAAACCGGGTCAAAAAATTGAACCCACACAAAGCTCATTGTTGTGACCCGGCACCAAATTCGGGCCACAACGGCACAAAAACAACTAAGGAAACAAAAGGATAAAGTGCCTATGGGTAACACTTTAGTTTTTTTAATAAGTAAGATCTCATTAAAGAGCAATCGAAAGGGATAGTGCAACCCAAATACAACTGCACAAACCATAAACTACATCCTCAAGCTATCTATAAAAGACGAAAGAATCTCCATTGATTTACAATTCCTCCCATTAACCCAAAAGAATAAAGAACTAAGCACAAAGAATTTAAATCCAATTTCTCTCCAAACCAGACTACCCAATTCATCTGATCTTAAGTGGAGTCCTTTAGGTTGATGTCTTTGCTTTGACTTTGTTACTTCTTCTTTAAGTAGAATTCTTCCTTTTATCTTTCCTTCACATTTAGCTCTTGAGGTCTTCATCTTTGTTATTAGTATCCTTTGAACTTTTTGCATTGTACTTTGCCATTGGTCTCCAGCTTTCTTTTGAGTTTCTTAGAGATGAACCCTGTTTAACTTAAACTCAAGTGGATGATAAATATAACAACTTCAAATATTTGTAATAATCAAAATCTCTTTAATGCCCTTCGCAGGATAGCTTAGGCAAACAATCCACACAGATCGCCTTGGCCTCGAAGAATGACTGGCACCAAAGATGTAGCGGCAGGCCGTAAAGCAATATGCGTCTCTCCTTTCTCTTCCTCAATATTCCAGAAAACCCTGTCCTAAATGACCACACACGAGCTTCAAAACTGCATCACCCCAACTTCTCTTCCCCTCATTCAAAACCCTACATGCCTCCTTAGTTGACAGTAATCAATACAGCAGAAGGGAGTCTGGAAAAGCTGAAACTCCCACCCCACACGCCACCCTCCATGCTTTCAAAGCGTACACTCCAATGGGTAACAATACGACAAAGAAGAATAATATATGAACAAAATTACATAATCATATATCATAGAGAGCCCATACCAAGTGGTAATAAGATGAATAAAACCAAAATAAGAATTTCGACGACAAAACAATAGATTCCTTATCAAGAGGTAAACATGCATATGTGTATAAATGCATACAGGTTCAAACATAAAATAAAAATAACAAATGCCAAAACTGCAAAAAGAGAATACCACTTACCCAAAAATCCAAGTAAAATGCTGTAGGGATTGTGAATTTTGAGAGCATTGTGGAGACCCCATATAACATTATGTCCTCCAGGAGAAGACTGTCTACCGCAGAAGACTACTCCCACCCTAAAACCAAAAAAACAACAACATAAAAAAAAATAAAGATCGAAACAGCAAACATAGTGGAAGCTATTACAAATGTCTAAGTGAAATAATGCACATGTATAGAGGCTATTCTTTACCCGGTAAACTAAAACCCAATAATTTCATTTCCACCATGTATATAGGAAAATATAAATAATGCCAAAAGGAAAGCGTGAATATTTTAATAATGCGACTAGTTTCTCATGATGTCTTTCATTTAAATTTAGAGCATAATAATTAAAGAAGATAAAAAAATGCTATTGCAATAACACATGAGCGAAAATGAGTTACATTCAAAATGTGTTAAAAATATCTTCGCAGGAAAACATATATGAGTGATCAAATGTATACCTAATTGCTGGATGCTCAGAAATTATCTGGGCATTGGGGACCTTTGCAGTTGCTTTAAGAAAATGAGCCAAAGGTTGACCGTATGTATGTGGAAATGTTCGACTTATGGTGTGGGCACCAGAGGGGTCAGCAGCTGTAGTTGCATCACCAAATTCTACCCCGACAGTAGTTCCCTGTGTAATGAAATTACATGAATAAAAGCTCAGTAATTTTTTTTTTTTTTATAAGTAAAAGCGCAGTAAATATGCCAACATATATGAGGTAAAGTATCAAGAACCAAATTTAGGTATAAACATTAAGCCAAAAAGGCAATAGTAGAAATATAAAAAAGAAGGAGAGAATTGTGTAAAGGCTTGAATGAAATGAATCACTCGTTTATAACTCTAGTATTTATAGATAAAAAGAGCACATGCTCATATTACAAGAAAAGAAACTAAATCAAATCTAAATCAAATCACAGCATATTCTAAAGCATATTCTATGGCATATTCTATAGCCTATGTTACCCAAACTCGGACACGAGTGTCGGACATGAGTATGTGTCTAGAGGTCGGATCCTCCTATGTATCAAATTATAGGACACGGGGACACGAAATAAAAGTGTCCAAAACTCGGACACGGATACTTGGACACTTCATATATGTTGTAAAGGAGAGAGTACTCTTGTCACTTGTATACCTTTTAGTTTGCACCAGTTGAATTTATATTTTTTATTAAGTCTTTTTTTCTCTTTTAGCAACCACATTATCTTTTACTATTTTACCTCAAACCAAAAAGAAAATAAGAAAATAACTTACAAGAGAAAATATCTAAATAATAGCCCAGTCCAATGGATTATATTATTAAAACACTCTTACAATTTATTGACTAAATAATAACCCAGCCCAATGGATTATATTATTAAAACACTCTTACAATTTAATGTCTAAATAGTAGCCCAGCCCAAATAATAGCCCAAGCCCAATGTATTAATGTGTGCACAATAGATGTGGGTTACAGCTATAACCCACAGTTGTAGTCCATATATAACGTGTATACGAAAATAAGAATGGATACAGCTGGCAGCAACAAAGACCATTAGTCTGCCAAGGATATGAAAAGTCTACAAGCATGAATATACTCTCCACCAAAAACAGAAAATCTGCTACAGCTGCGCATGAAGAAACCATCATCTTCAACTTTCCAAAAACCCTATCTTCAAACCAACCGCCTCCACAAACTTACAGAACACATCCGATCTAACATAAAGGCTTGAAAAAAAGTTCAAATCCCTAACAAGCATCCACAATATAATCTTCTATGAGCAAGTCTTCATCAACCGTGTCCGATGTCGCGAAAGGGTGTCCGACCCATATCCCGAGTCAGTGTTCGTGTCGTGTTGTGTCGACACGAACACCCTGGGCTAATATGCCAAGTCTAGGTAACACAGTCTATAGCATAATCAAATCTCTACTAATATGGTAAGTCATTCCATAAATCGTGGCTATCATATATGCTAACATATGCATAATCAAATCTCTGCTATTATGGTAAGTCATTCCATAAATCGTGACTATCATATATGCTAACACTCCCCCTCAAGTTGGTGCGTGGATATCTGAAACGCCCAATTTGGACAATGCATTCTCAAACACAATCTTGCTGAAGCCCTTTGTAAGAATGTCTATAAGCTGCTGAAAGCTTATGACAAATGAAGTGCAAATTTGACCAGAGATGATCTTCTCTCGAATGAAGTGATGGTCAACCTCTATATGCTTAGTCATGTAATGGGATTTGCTACTATGCTAATGGCAGACATGTTGTCGTAGTAGAGTGAGAATGGAAGCGACACTAGAAGGCACAAGTTTGTCATCAAGGTTTTCAACCATAGCAACTCATATACCCTAAGAGCCATAGCCCTATACACTGCACTAGATCGAGAGACAACATCCTACTTCTTACTGTGCCAAGTAACCAAGTTACCACCAATAATGGTACAATAACCCGAAGTTGACCACCTATCTTAACCAATTCTGCATAATCAGCATCTGTCCAAGCCTCAACACGTAAGTGACCATGATTGGAAAACAAAATACCACGACCCGGATACCTTTTCAAGTAGCGAAGGATCCAAATAGCTGCATCAAGGTGTGGGGTACGAGGAGAGTGCATGAATTGACTCACGACACTCACAGCATAAGCAATGTCAGGTTGAGTCATGGATAAATAGTTGAGCTTCCCCACAAGTCGTTGATACTGACCAACACCTGACAACAACTCCCCGTCAAAATCAGCCAACCAATGATTCTGCTCAATCGGAGTATCAGTAGGACAAGCGCCAAGCTGACCAGAAGCAGAAAGCAAGTCAAGAACATACTTGCGTTGAGAGATGAAAATGCCAGCCTTGGAGCGAGCCACCTCAATGCCCAAGAAGTTCCGTAGGGGACCAAGATCCTTAATCTCAAACTAACAGCCAATATAGCTCTTAACCTCAGCAATTCCGGTAGTGTCATCTTCGGTAAGATCAATATCATCGACATACACAATGAGAGCAACTATCTTACCGCCTGAATGACGTAAAAACAAGGTATGATTAGTTGCACTTTGATGGAAATTGTTGTACAGTATTGTATGAGTTGTCATGTTGTACAGTATTGTATGAGTTGTCACCTACCCCTCATTACCATATATGGAATTATCATGTATAAGGTTTATTTGTTCTCCACTCACCTACTCCCGTAACTTCTCTTATATAAACACCATTGTATTATTGTATTACTCACTCAATAAGATATACGGTTTCATATATTCTCTTTCTCTCTCTCTCTTTTAACATGGTATCATAGCAGAAATCGATCCCTCTTTAATTTTTTTTTTTAGTCTTGTTCAGACTCCGATCTTGATTCTATCTAGGCTTTCTCTCAGCAATCGCTTCTCGGCGATCTCTCCTCGATGATCTAAGCTCTCGTCTCGGCAATCTCTCTCGGATCCCTCCTCGGCTTCCTCTCAGCAATCTCTTCTCAACAATCACTCCTCGGTGATCTCAGTTCTCGTCTCAGCAATCTCTCTTGGATCCCTCCTCGGCTCTCTCCTCGATACTTTCTCTCGGGTCCATCTCGCCTAGATCTTGGTTTTCTTATCTCGGTTCCCTCTTGCTACTATATCTCATTTGTTCGGCAGCTCTTGTGATGGATACTAAGGAATCCCGTCTACTTGGGTCAATCACCAGCACCAAACTGAAAGGCTCAAACTACCTTCAATGGTCTCGAGCCGTAGAGGTGTTATTACGGACTCGAGAAAAACTATTATATCTTAAATCAACCAAACCCACTAGTGGTGAAATGATTATTGAGGCTTGGGAGAAAGAAGATGCTCAGATTATGACTTGGTTATGGAACAATTTGGAGCCTGAGATCTTCAACAACGTGTCATTTCTAGAATCTGCCAAAGATATCTGGGAAAATCTCAAGGACATGTATTCTTCAAAGAAGAATATTTCTCCTATTTATTAGTTGTACCAGGATATTTTTAATCTCCAGCAGGGAGATCGTTCTGTTGAAGATTATTACTCAGAATTGAAGAGCATGTGGGAAGAATTGAATGCCTACCAACCATTGACTATAGATATAGAACAACAAAAAGGGCACAGGGAGGAGTTTCGGGTGGCAAACTTTAACCGATTTCAGAAGGTCATATCAAGTTTGGGTACAAACTGAGTAATGTTGATCACACCATGTTCATTTAGAGATCATATATCGTATTTTGAGTTTGAAAAAAGCAAGGATATGATGATGATATCATATTCTAAGATACGTGAAGTTTGCTCCTTTAAAAGGTATCTTATAGAGATGCAAATTCGGTAAGCTTGATTGATTATAGCCAGTCCACCAAATGCTATTGCACCTTTATAGGAGGAAATTTGGTTACTTGCATAAGAAACAATCGGTAGTGGCTAAGTCCATTGTTGAAGCAAAATATAGGGCTATGAAACTATATTGTGATAACAAAGCAACCATTAGCATTGCACATAACCCGTCAACATGATATAACGAAGCATGCTGAAATTGACAAAAAGTTTATCAACGAGAAGTTAAATAATGGAGTGATTTGCATAGCCTTCGTGAAGTTTTGTTCACAAAGGATTTGAATAGTAATTCCTTCCATTCTATTGCAGCCAAGTTGGACATGAGAGATATCTGTGCAACAATTTGAGGGGGGGAGTTTTGGAATATGTGGGAATAACCGTGTAATGAGCATAATTACAAGAAAAATACCACGTGGGGTACCATTGTAAATCTTAATTTTCAATAATATAAATATATGGGTGTAGATATGTCAAAAACATTCTACAACCATTCTTTACATCTTTTTCTCCCTCATTCTTTCTTTTCTTTCTTTCTTCAAACCCTAATCATCCAAACCGTAAAGTATAATCAATTATGTTATGTTTGGGAGCACCGAATCGGTGTCTTGGATTTGGGATTGAAGGAAGTTTTATTCAAAATTTGTACTAAATTTTCTTCATCCCTAATCCAAGTTGCCGATTTGGTGCCGCCAAACATAGCATTATTGTATTTCAACTAAGAGAAAGAAAATCAATACGGTATATATGAAGCAATTGGTATATCAAGGGTTAAATAAATCAAGAAAGACTTGGAAGGTATTCAAATGAACTTTTTAATAAGTTATTTCTATCTCAGTAAGAACAAGCACATTTTGCTGGCTGCCAATTACCCCATTTTTATTTAAAAAGAAACACATGTTTCTTTATCAGGCAAACAGTGGTCCAACAAAATCTGAGGTTAAAAAAATTGTTCATATCATTATGCATCACCAGACGACTTTACATACATCCCAGTATGCTTTTAGCCAATGCTTCCTAAAATATTTACCTTCTATATGTCAAAAATGATATTGTTCCTGGCATATTTCCAACAGAGACAACTAAGAGGCGCATGAAAAACAGCATATCTTTCGTTTTTGTTTCATCCCATCCCCTTTTTGCATTAGATTAGATAATGCTAGAATTTCTTTCTGTTTACTTCCACATTTCAGTGAAGAATTAAAAAACAAACAAATAAGTAAAATTATAGATCAAAAAGTTGTCAAAAATTGCATAAATTGATTTAGCATTTTGATTTTATACTTTAACTTCTGACCTCCAAAAATTCAAAATCTAAAAATCATCATGCTATAAATTCTAAGTAAATATAGGAAATCTAACTACTAGCAATCAAAACGGATGTTTTTCTCTACCAAATAGCAATCGAAGGCAAATGAAGGGATGCCTAATGTGACAAATTGAGGCAGAGAATGTAACATAATAAATACAGTGAAACAATAACAAAGAAGACAAAACAACCACCTTAAGACACGGAGGAAGCTCCGGTTGGTAGAGAGATCGAAGTTTTTGCAGACCGGAGAGTTCTCTTGGTATCCCAAAGTCCGATTCCATTGCTATTTGTCTCTTGGTTTACCTTTTGCACTGTTACTGGTAGTGTAGTGTTGAGATTGCTTTCACTTTTTTTTTGTTTAAGACTGCGCATTAAAAGCAAGTACTTTTTCGTACACTGTGCGTGTGCTTTACTATTAAGGCCATCTGCCCGGCCTCTTCGGATTTTGACTCTCTAAAAATTTCACTTCAGCTTTTTTAAAAGCCACGTCAACAATTTCAAAAGCCACATCAACCGTTTTCCCTCCCCAGAAACCGTTTTTCTCCCCAGAAACATACAATCCATCAAGTTCTTCAAATTTTCGCTCTTCAAAAAAAAAATTTAATTAATTAATTAAATTAAATTAAATTTTAAGATTAAAAATAATGAATTAGAATAAAAAAATAAGAATTACAAAATCATATGGAAATAACAAAATGAAATTTTAATTTTAATTATTTTTTTAAAAAAAAAAGTTTTACAAAACTAAATTTTTTTTAAAAAAATTACAATATTATAACCTTTAAGGCACTGTTTGTGTCAGCCAAACAGTGCCTTAACGGTCAAATGCACTGTTTATGACAGTAATTTAAAATTTAAAGCAAAATTTTTATAAAAAAAAAAAAAAAAAAAATCAAATTTTAAGGAAAAAAAACAAAAAAAAAAAAGGTTTTTTAATTTATTTTTGGCAGAAATAATTTATTTTTTGGACAAACAGTGTCTAAACAATATATTTTTTTATTTACTGAATTTTATTTTATTTTATTTTTTAAAAAATAAGCTCAAAATAACATATTTTGGGTTTTTTCAAAAAAAAACTAGGCTGCCAACAGTCCCTCACTGTTGGCATTGTTGTAGCCTAAAAAAAAAAAAAAAAACCGCTTCAGGCAAAACGTCGTCGCTTTGTTAAGGAAAAAGGCGAAAAAAAATTTCCGCGATCGGGCTCGGGCTCGCGGAATATCGCGAGCCGGGCCGCGAGCTGTTGTGGGCCCCACCCAATTCTGCGAGGTTGCTGGAGTGAGTTTGGTTTGTTTGGCTCGCAGAAAGGGCCTTCCGCGAGCCCACTGCGAATGCTCTAAAGCACTACTATTTATCAATGGGGTGTTTTGAATGTGGGGTCTACGTTATATTGCTTGATAGCCACTGAAAATGAAATGAGAGTGAATGGGAATGGAGTAGGAACATTAATTATCTTTCTAATATTTGATTATTTTACCGTTTAAGTTGAAAAATTGAATTCTTTAAAATATTTTTTCAAATTTTTTATTTTTTTTTTTCATTTAAATAGAATGTCAAGTTTCTTAAAGCGGAATTGTCACTTTATTTCTACAAACCAAACACAAACATAAATGTATTGTATGTTGCACTTATATAACACACCAAATTGCTGTGCGTGTTGCGATTGTATAACACCAAACCAAATTGGAGGTAAAAGGTTGAAATAGGGTACGAAACTAGAGATGGGATTGGTAGTGTTGGATGATGATAATGTAATTCATATCTATATCTATACTCTTTATAAATTTTAGTATTATTATATACACCTTAATACTATTTAAGCTAATAAATAAATTAATAAATGATATTAAAAGTCACTCTTTAATTCTATTTAAGCTAATAAATAATTTTTTTTTTATTGGTAAGCAATTCAAACACACCACTACTCACACAACTCCTTTGAAGACTAGAACTCTCACCATTCACGTTAAATGGTTAAAAGGTAGAGGAGAAACCACTAAAATAGAAGGCTAATGATAATAAATAAATAATATTAAAAGTCAATTTCCTTCACCATAAACACCTTTTTATTTTAAAAATATATACATCAAAACATTTTTACTATATAAAATAGTTAGAACATATTAACTACACAAATTTCTTAAAGTCACCTTTAACTTCAAACAACTCTATTTTAAAATAAAGTGCGTCTTCAAACCTTTTTTTCCCCTTCATATTAATAGTTAGTTACTCATTAATATAAATTGTAACAATCCGAACCAAGGGATTCGGATCACTAATTGGGTCCTTACCCAAATCCAAGGTTATCTAAGGCACTACCGTTATTTCCCATTTAAAAATATAATTAATTACGTTTAACTGTAAAAGTCCAGTCCAATATATATACATGTTCCAAAAAAACATATTTAAACATGTCTCAAAATATTATTGTTACATTTTCAAGGTTACAACAATAAAGGCAATTACATAAAATTTTGTCTAAATAATACAAAATACATTATCTAATGCAAAATGGCAAATGGAAATCTTTTCTAATCTCGTCCATGCATGTGGAGGATCAACATCCACCAACTCTTCCCCATAACATGAAAAATGTAGAAAAGTGAGCAAAACGGCTCAATAGAGATTGCCTAAGTGGCATCTCCTCAAGTAAGGTAAATAATTACATACCTTACATACAATGAATAGAAAAAAGAATAAGAGATCATGCTGGGGATTCACGTACAATACTTCCATTTTCAATTAATTATCATCACCATCCAAATACAATGCAATGCATGAAATACCCAACGGAACCACACTTCACACCCACACCATCACGAGTCCACACATCACATCAACACCCTCTTTTACTCGTGAACATCATCATGCTTAAAAAAAGAAAAAAGAAAAAAAACCTTCAAATTAAATTATTCATTAATCATCATGCTTTCACAATACAATTGACTTTTTCATGGCCACAACAAGATCAATTAACAATTATAGCATGCTTTAAGCTTTTTAATATCATTTAGCAAGTGAATAACCAATAACTTCACAACAACCATGTAAAGAGAATTATATAGTCCATCACATAACAACTCAATAAATTGTCATTTTTGCAATTTTTACACAAGTTATATATATAATCACATTAAACATAACAATTAGACAAAACTCATACACAAACCAAAACCCTAGAACGAAATCATTCAATTAAACATCAAATTGACATGCTAGAGGAGGGAAAAATATCCAATTAACTACCAAAATCAAGAACTTTTATAGTTAGATAACTCTACCTTGATTTTAAGAAAAAGGCCCAAATTCAAAATGCTCAAAAATACCCAAATCCAACTTCGCTCTGATAAAATCGAAGCTCTCGTCGTGCTCGTTAACTTTGCCTTCAGTGGCAAAGTCAAATTCCCAAAGGAAAGGCTTGGATCTAAGCTTAAAAGGAAGAGAAAAAAGAAAAAGAAAAATTACAGAGAAAGGGAAAAGAAATGGCGTAAAGAAATGAAGATGGAAATGGTCATTATAATGATCAAATATATGTGGGGCCCACCAATATATTAAACACATTAGGGCTGATCACGGATCAGACAGGTTCGGTTTTGGGTAAAATTCAAACCAATCCGGTCCTCACGGATTGGCTAAATCTGAAACCGAACCGATCCGTGGGGACTCTCAATTCGAACCAAACCGATCCGTAAAATAACTTATTGGTTTAGTTCAGTTCCCACGGATTAGGCTTGACAGAACACAACTAAGAAAACTGAAATTAGAGGCAAAATACTATTTTCATTTGAGTCATGCTTGAATTTAAAGGGAAAAAGAGAATCTGTTATTGTTAACTTTGTTTTGAAGTACTGATTTTCGTCTGAGCCATGCGTTAATTTATAAAGATTATACATATTAATAAATGGGCTATGAAAATGACAAGGTAGAACTGAAACTAAGTGACGAGATGGAGCAATCAAGATTTTTTTTCCATAAGAAAAGAACAAAAATTCATAAAAGAAAATAATGAAAAACTTCTGAACTCACTAGAAATTAGATATAGATGAAGAGGAAATGATCGGCCGATGTAAATTGGAAATGCTTACTTGTCTGGGTTCCATAAGAGACCGAGACGAGAGTATTCATTTTCTTTCTCTTATTCATAAGCATATAGCCTAGCACTCAGATCAACACATGGATTGTGAGTCAATTGCGAGCTTGAATAAGACATAACAATTCCTCGTTGGATCTGCGAGTAGAGGGAATAGCCTATAAAGGGGTGAGATTCTCTATGGGAGATTTATAGAGTGAGTGTGACGATAGTGCTGACCTGGCTTCTGAACCAGGAGCAATGCCCCTGTTTCCTGCTTCTCGGTAACGTGGGCTTTCCATGAGAGACTGTGAGCAGAACAGTGGGTTTGTGGGATTATATGAGAATTGATGGGAGGCCAAAGACCCATGCAAATAAAAGGAATGTAAAAAACTAAGAAGTGTAAAACATTAAACCACAAAAGTAGTAAAGCATCTTGGGTTCGTAAAACAATAAAACTTTTGAAAACTTAATGATTAAAGAAAATAAAAACATCAATAATGTATTCTGCATATAGTGTATACTATATATGTGATATAATATTTGTATATCAATTCTACGGATTGGCCATGGATCGGTTTATGAATCGAATCGGATCGGATCTATTTTTTCAACACCTAATCCAATAACTGATCCAGTCACTATGGATTACTAATTTTTCAATCCATCACCGAACCACATAGAAAACCAAACCAAACCACGCAGATCGATTCGGTTTAACAGATTGACGGATTATTTGAACACCCCTAAAATATATAGCCACATAAATATACATCAATTAATAATGTATGACATGCAACAGACCCAAAAAATAATTTTCGTACACTACAAATCCGGTTGCAGGTCCGCCCGGGACCTCCCGGCCCGAAAAACTAAAAATACCTAAATGGCCAACGATGCATTTCTAAGAGTTCTGAACTCGAAGAAATGCTCCAATCAACTTTCAGAACTCATCTGGCACACTCCACTGTGTCTAACACGCAAAACGAGGCAAAAAAATAATCTAAAAAATTAAAAAATCTCCGAAATTGGAAAATAGGAAAAATCATAAACATCACAATCTGCCCAACTTTAAAAGATTTCATTCCCGAAATCAACTCACATCACAAGTGAAGGACGAAAGGATACAAAAACGGAGTACGTCTCCGATTATCCCACGCAACACGCCATACCAAAAATCTCAACACGAAAAATCCCACATCCTAAGTCACTCGCAACCTTGTGCTTGTGACCTAACGCAACATCAACCGAATAGTGACCACAGTCACATGCAATCTCATCCCCCATAATAACTGACTGAATGAAAAAACACACCCTGTGCCGAACAAAAACTCTCCACCGCCAGATACAAAACACACGAGGCACAAGCCCCCAACTAAACTCCGTGACTCTACCGAGTCCTAACCACTTAGAACCATTAGGATTGTCATCCTTCTAACCAAAACATAACACTAATCGATATTAAGTCCGCAAAAGATGACATCAGTCAACCCACATGAATACACGCATCACGAAAAGAATCATTCAATCCAAGTCACCACAATACTTAACCATCTACTCCCGCTCGTGGGATGAAGAGAAAAACACTCAACCCATGTCAAAACCGATCCGAAACATAAAATCGCATCAACGCGATCCACACAAGACATCCCACCAGAAATTATTGGATCCCATACGAGGTAGGACCAACCAACAACGCTTCACCTAATCCGCACCAAACACCCTAAGGCTCACAAGAATAATGGTTACAAAATCGCTTAACGAACCAAGATACGAGCTCAACTCGTAATCCCAAGAATACTCTTAAAACTATCTCCGACAACTACTGTCCTCAATAGCTATATCATAAGTGAACACCCACAACGGTAACCTAAAAGGTCATCAAACCTGCCGAATATACCATCAGGTACCCAAGAAACAACCCATCAGCATAACTCAAGGATCAACTGATCCAACAACTAAAGCTCCTAGGTACGTAGTCCCGTACCAAGTACACCACCATCCACGACAAGTCACCTGAACACGTACAAAGAATACCATCAATCCCAAGTAAGACTCACTTTAAAATGGGATCGCACCACCACACGTACGTAACGCACAACACCATGTTCTGACTGTCACTAATCACACTAAAAGCAATGATTGTTGACCTTTGACTTGACATTATGTTAAACAAAGACTGACTCTGAGAAATGGTTGGCCAGGCCATTCCCATCCTCAATCTGACCTCAACATCAATATTATTCTTGTTCTCAGGTCTAATCCCTAAGCATATGCGCACATCAATCTCTATGTCTAACTCTAGACATACGGTTCACAACACATGGTCTAACTATGTTGACCTTAAGGATTTCATCCAAGTAAAATCTAGTTGTTTTGATGATAACAAACCATTAATGGTGTTTAAGGACTAATGTTTATATTGAGTGTTATACAGATTATTCACATTCAAAGAATGACCTCAATGAAGCACTAAAGATCATTCCAAGTATTCCCTTATTTAATATCACATCAATGAAAGAAATGGATACAAAGAAGAGTTGAAGTTGCAAGGAACAAAATGCAATGTCCGTCCAAAGATAGCTTGGACTACAATGAACAAGAAAGCAACTCAAAGGAAGGAAGAAAGCAAGGATACCTCAAAGCCAAAATGATCATGTCAAAGCTTGAAGATATGGGTAGATAGGATGGTGAGTGTTTATGATTCAATGTTAAAGTATTTATGAATCCATTTGAAGCTCATCTCTAGAGGATCATGCATATCATCATTATCATTCATATATTCCTATATCCTCAGCAATAGACTATGAACTTTATCATATATGACATGTGGAGTCTTTACTAAAGAATGAGTTAGTTTAAGCTTGCATAAGCTTTGAAAGAACTCATAACTTAAGCTAGAAATGCTAAGACCATGCACATTAATCATAATATTTAATTTGGTCTCTAGAAAGAACAAGGAAAATGCATTGAACTTAATATTCCATCTTTAAAGCCTTTGTTACCATAATTTGGTAAATGACTCTAGGACACAATGCACTTGATATTTATCCTCCTTATATGTCCCTAAACTCTTAGAAACTGGATTTGAACTGAATTGAACCATATATCAAAGTCCTAAGGGCTAGAAAGATGGCTATCTCATAAGAAGTAATTTTCAGCCCATAAAATTTTCAGACCAGCCTGTACTAAAACTGCTATAACTATTTTTATAATTAGAATTTATAATTGGAATTTTTAAGTAAGGCAAGTGGCATTGGAAAGTTGACTTCGAGCCTTTGAGTTTAGACTCAAATTTCACCTAAAAATGATTTGAATTGGATGAGATATGAGCATTACAAAATACATGTTTCTGGTCTGCAAAATTTCTAACCAGGTTGCACGAAAACGGCCATAACTATTTTTGTGGTTGGAATTTTTTATTAAGGCCAGTGGCATTAGAAAGCTAACTTCAAGGAAATAAATGTAGATTCAAATTTCACCTCATTTGGAGTTAAATGGACTGAGTTATGTCCATTTGAAGTCTGCCCAACAATGGAGTTGGCTCCATTCAAAGTAGAGCAGGCTTTTTCTAGTCCAGTAGCGAATTTCAGCTTGTTCCCAGCAAGGGAGCCAGCTCCATGTTTAGGGAGTAGGCTCTCAGAGCTAAGGGAGCTGGCTCCATGTTTAAGGGAGCAGGCTCTATGTGCCCAAAATTTGAAATTATGCCTAAATTTGTGAATAACGGTTACTTTGACTTTAAATTCGAATTTTACTCATCTAGCATCATTATTTAGCTTCTAAAACCTCTATAAATACCAAGGGAATGTCTAAGAATAAAATACACCATTCAAGAGACATTATATTGCATTAGAGAGCTTTTGTTCTCATCTTCTCTTCATTTCTCTCATTTCATTCTCATATTAATCTTAAGAGATTCAACTAAGGATTCAAAGGGCTTTTGTTCTAGTTCTAATCCTCAAAGAGCTTTTGCTTTATTCTACACTTGAGAGATCTTATTAAGTTCATAAGAGCTTTTTTATTTAAATCATCTTCTCTTATTCATATCATTCATAGAGTTTGAGCTTCATTTATATTCATCAATACTCTAGTTGTGAGCTGAAAATTGTACTATCTTTGAGAGATTTATTGTATTTCATTGCTATTATTCCTATCAATTGTAAGGGTTGGTTTGACCCACCGGGTTGGTGTGACCCAAAGGAAGATTAAGAAAGGTTGTCTCTTAACAAGGTGAAGCAAGGAGTTGCTTCATGTAAAGGTTTGCTCTCCACCCGTAAGGAGAAGTTATAGTGGATTGGGAAGTCTCAAGAGGGATCTTGAACCGAGGAGTAGGAGTTTCCGAACCTCGCTAAAATTGCCGAATTATTGTTTGCAATTTCTCTTCCCTTATCTCTTTTACAATTATACTTTAAATTGTTTATTTTTACATCTTACTTTCATATCTTGATTATTGCATAATTGGTTAGATTGTTGATTAGAAATTGTATTTCTATAAATTGCGAAAATTAGCCTTTGACACTATTCACCCCCCCCCCCCTCTAGAGTCAATTCTTAGGTAACAAACTATTCCCAACACACGAGTCACATCACAGCTATTAGATACCACTGCTAACACTAAGACTCTGAGAAAACATACACAACGGTTAACAAGTCACGTCTTATGCCGTATCGATCGTAACCTCTCGGAACCAATCCCACAAAACCAAGGACTTCATCTCTTATTATGGAGGCAAGTCGAACGATCCAGATCAAACCCTCACTCGGGGTCCCTAATAAAAGAGAGGACTCTATAAAGTCCTTTCGTCCGCTGACATGCATAACTCCTATGTGGAGATACAAAACTCAGAAGCAACAAAGTCCTTGCCAGAACTGAATCAAGAAGAAGGAAAAGCAAGTCCCTCTCCCGCAACAGAACTAAACACGTACCTACCGATACCTTGCATACGAAATGCCAAGAAAAAGGAACTATATAGAGATGAAACAGCATAATCTGTAACTCATACACCTACCATCCATATGTAATATGAACTAGTGTCCCTTCCCAAAGCGTTAGGGGCTAAACAACGAATCTAAGGACATCGCGTCCCATCCTGCCTAAAGAAAAACCTTACTAGTAGTAATCTAGATCTTTCATTTATACAAACTACGTAATGCTAAACGACCACATCAATAACCTTTAGAGTAACATGGCTAAAAACCCTTCTGCCATCAATCTCTTAATAAAACCAACAATTGGACCTCAACTGCTCATAAAATACACATCGTTATCCAATAAAACTGTCTGTGAATACACGCATAGTCATATAAATACGTCATTTCTTTAACACATAATGGTCACAACTGGTATAACATTACAACATGAAACCCATACAAAACATCTCGAACTGTATCCTGCCCTAGGGGCTCACACACCAACCATCATCAGTATCACCCCAGTTCGGAACCACACTATGGGATATGTCCACCATCCTAGCATAGGTAAAATAGATATTGCACAAAACTCACGGGTAGCCCCCGTTACAACCAGAACAATAGTACACAGGCATCCGCCCAATCTCACAGGTATCCCTCGTTACAACACCAGACCCACAGGTATCCCCCATTACGACACAACACACATACGATTCATTGGTAACAACATGACAAGACTCACAGATAACAATATGACATAACTCATAGACAATAATACGACACAACTCACAGACAACAATACGACACGACTCACTGGTATCCCCCGTTACAACATAACAAAACTCACAGGTGTCCCTTGTTACAACACAAAACGACTCACAGGTGTCCCCGGTTACAACACAAAAACGACTTACAGGTGTCTCCCGTTACAACACGACATGACTCACAGGTAACCTTCGTTACAACACAGTCACAGGTATCCCCTGTTACAAAACTCATATGTATCCTCCGTTACAATACTAGGCATCCGCCCAATCTCACAAGTTTCCCCCGTTACAACAAGGATCAATCATAGTAATGTCTCATCTCCTCTGTGGACAGTCCCTCTTCATGTGGCTCTACTGACCACACCGAAAACAAACTTCGGAACTAGGTCTATCAAGAGGACACTTCGCCTTGCGATGTCCTGGCTGCCTACAACGATAACATACCACATTCGTCCTAGAGGACTCTGAAGACGTACCAACCGTAGAAGTAGCATATGTCGTCCGCTACTCCTGAGAAAACAATGAAGCATATATGTGCCTCTTCCTGCCCTGGCTCCCGGAAGACGTACCCACACTCATAACTCATTCCTAAAAGCCCACAATACCACTCATTTCTTGCCAATATTTAGCTTCTGCTTTTTCCATCAGTACCCTCGTAACCACCTCCGAGTAACTCTTTAACCCCAAAAACGTTACCCTTGGCCTAATAGAATGATTTAGGCCGAACACAAACCGCCATGTCTTCTCCCCCTCGTTCCCTAACACATCTATAGCGAAACGTGAAAGAAAAGTGAACCTGTTCTTATACTTCGTGACTGACATGTCACCTTGCTCAAGACCGTCAAACCGTATCCTCAATTCCCATCTCTTAGTTTGTGGGAAATACTTATCAAAGAAAAGATTCTTGAATGTATCCCACCTCATACTGTCAGTATCATGCGTACTATTCATGGTCTTCCACCATGCTTCCGCATTACCAATAAACTTATATGTGGCTAATGTAACTATCAACTGATCATTAGTTACGGTTATTGCCCTAAAATGCTTTTCAACTTGTTCTAACCAATCGTCCGCTACCAACGGATCTGGACCTTCCTCAAATGCTACTTTCATGAGTTTGTCAAACTGAATAATGTAACGAAGATTTTAATCCATCTCCGTCTCTTGTGGCTGAATAGCCGATTGTGGTACCACTTGAGGAGCTGTGGTACACACTAAATTCTGAAAAGCTGAGGCTACGGTCCCTGCTAATAGGACATCGTCCACCGGTACTTGTGGATTATCATTCACCTCTCTATCTTGGCCCTATCCCAGTGAAACCCTATCTGGTTTGGATGTCCCTTCACTTACTTGCTCTCCAACTTCATTCAGATTCATCTCTTCACGTAGTCCTCAAGTGCTTTACTACAAAAGCAACTACACGATTAAGACAAAGATACATGAAATAGCTCAATCCACGAGCTATGGTACTCGCACTATCCGTTCAATAGAAACTAAAACATTTAGAGACATAGGAATGGTCAAGTTCCTCACATACGTGGATCTAACCCAACACACATCACTGCCACGAACACTCAAACTTGTCAATAACGAAACAAACTAGTCACACATACATCCACTCCCTAGTAGATGAGCGACCGTAACTTAAACCGAGACATGCAACCATGTCCTAAAATAAGATCATATCTATCATGCTCAAATAAACATCATCACATCATATAACACATGCTTTCATAAATAATAAACACTTAATAATTAAGTACGTAGTCAATTGAGCATGCTTTAAACTAATTCAATCACTTCATTAATCAGATAAATGATTACACATAAGTATTTAACATTTAGACATACTTAAATTTAATCATCATTTCATAACTCTCATAATCAATTCGCATATAAACACACAATAACAAATGATACTTTTTAACTAGATAAACAATAACCACAAAAACATGTAATGTCGTCAAACCTAACTCTACCCGTCGTCCTTAAGTTTTCGAACCTAAAGCTCTGATACCAAATTTGTAACAACCCAAATCAGGGTGTTCGGGTCCTTACCCGAACCCGAGGTCATCTAAGGCATTACAGTTATTTCTAATTTGAAAATTTAATTAATTATGTTTAACTGTATAAGTCCAATCCAAGATATATACATGTTCCAAAAAAACATATTTACCCAAAACTTATACTACCTCCATCCCATTTTAAATGTTGGCTTCGGGAACCATGACTCACAAATTTGTGAGTCACGGTTCCCGAAGCCGAGAGTCACGATTCCCGAAGCCGAGATTTAAAAATGGGAAGGAGGTAGTATATTACTAGCCCCTTAGCAATACAAAACAAAAATAAAATGAAATAACATAAATAAATCCTCTTTCGTGGGAATGACCATTGCATTTAGCATATGCAACAAACCTTTTAAACCCCAATGCATCCCTAGTGGACGAGTGAAGTCTCGTGAAAGTTTAACAGAAATGATACCCATAAACATTAGCAAAATTGGTGCATGAAGATGCACGAAGCTCATTCATCTTATGGAATATATGATAACATTGAAGAAATGATCAATATGAATACTTTATCAAGTATATAAAACATTGATTCTTTTGGTGTTTGATTTCTGAAAATGTTTTTAAATGAAAATCAAATCTTTTATGAAAATCAAACTTGCTATCTTACCAAAGTCCATTAAATTATAAAATTCAACCCACTTAATTCTTCATTATATGATTAAAAAAAAATCTAAAATATATATATATATACACACACACACATAAACCCACCAAGTAATTAAATAAAGGCTTAGTAATAGAAAAAATGCTTAGTTGTGGTTGATATAGTTTATATAGATTCAATGCAGCAATATATATAAATTTATAGAAGTGTCAATTTGAAGAGTCATTGTTTATGTACAATACGGTTGTAACTTTTTTTTGGAAATACAATATTTTTGGACTTGTTTGGTAACTGCTTTTGTGTCGTGCTTTTCTTTAATGTGTTGGCTTTTTTGGAGTGTATTTAATACTATTTGAAACAATGTTTATTTCTACTTTGGAGACAAAATATGAAAATAAATTTAGTAAAAAAATTTGAAAAATAAAATGACTAGTTGTACAACCGAAAACACTAATTTGAAGCTTTCGATTTTAGCCTCTTTCTTTTTTATTATTTTGATCTTACTCTATTTTATAATAGGGCAAGCCACTACATCAATGGGGGCATAGGGTGGGGCCACACAAGCTTCATCCAGTATGTAAAACATTAATTCTTTTGTGTTTGATTTCTGAAAATGTTTTTAAATGAAAATCAAATCTCTTATGAAAATCAAACTTGCTATCTTACCAAAGTTCATTAATTTTGTAATAAAATATGTGTGTGGGTATATATATATATATATAGAGAGTAATATTATAAAAGAGATAAAAATAGAGCTTTAGAGAGATAGAGAGAGAGAGAACGAAGAGATGGAATAAAGAGAGAGAGAAAACTATTTGTCCTTACACCATCAATTGTATACAAGAAGCCTATTTATAAGCATACACTGAGGCTTCCCAAACAAGCCATGATAATGGCTTTCACAGTAAGCTAATCTTCCAATCTTCCTTCTCACGCCAATTTTGTGTCATCATTGACTTCATTTATTGTGGACACCACATAGATATATATATGTAACACACCCCCTTGGGGTCCACAATATTATACTAAGAATATGCCTCGTTAAAACCTTGCTAAGGAAAACCCAGTGGGACAAAACCCTAGCGAAGGAAAAAGAGTACAGTATTCTTATGTATCTGAAAATGGTATTGCATAGATTAAAATTGCCTCATTAAAACCTTGCCAGGAAAACCCAGTGGGATAAAACCTGGACGAAGGAAAAAGAGTACAGTATGTCAATACCTCTTCAATCAATTGCTCCCCCTCATTAGATCAACCCTGAAGATTCTTTAGTTGACGCATTCCAATGTTGTGCACCAGCTTCTTAAATGTTGTAGTTTGAAGCATTTTAGTGAATAGATCTGCTAGATTTTCATATGAACGTATCTTCTGAATATCAATGTCATCCTTTTTCTGGAGTTCATATGCATAAAAGAATTTTGGTGAGATGTGCTTGGTCCTGTCACTTTTAATATATCCTTCTTTTATCTGTGCAATGCATGCCACATTATCTTCATATAATACTGTTGGGCTATCTTTTATTGATGAGAGACCACATGTTGGATCATTGATCTCAACCAAAAACATTCCCTACTTGCCTCATGAATTACGAGTTTCTCAGAATGATTTGAAGAAATGGCAATCATTGTCTGTTTCATAGATCGCCATGATATAGCTGTACCGTCACAGGTAAACACATACCCTGTTTGTGAATAGGCTTTATGTGGGTCAGAGAGATAGCCGGCATCTGCATATCCAACTAATTGAGAATTTGATGCTTTTGAATAAAACAATCTCATATCAGTTGTGCCACAAAGATATCGCAATATGTGTTTGATTCCATTCCAATGTCTGCGAGTTGGTGCAGAACTGTACCGTGCTAATAAATTGACTGGAAAAATTATATCAGGTCTTGTGTAATTTGTAAGATACAAAAGAGCACTAATCGCACTGAAATAGGGCACTTTAGGACCAAGGAATTCTTCATCATCTTCTCATGGACGAAAATGATCTTCTTGATGTATCGGACAATCATGGGAGAGCTTAATTGATAGGCTTTATCCATATGAAAACGTTTCAGAATCTTTTCTGTATATGTTGATTGATGGATGAGAATACCGCTCGAAAAATGTTCAACCTGCAGCCCAAGGCAGAATTTTATCTTTCCGAGATCTTTCATTTCGAATTCTTTCTTTAAATAAGTGGCCGTCTTTTCGATCTCACTCAATGTTCCCACAAGATTCAGATCATCAACATATACTGCAACAATAAAAAAACCAGATTTTGATTTGTTAATAAAAATGCATGGACAAATATGACTTTTCACATACCCTTCTTTGAGTAAGTAATCGCTAAGGCGATTATACCACATGCGTCCAGATTGCTTCAATCCATACAAGGATCGTTGTAATATTATCGAGTGCATATTACGTGGTTTTGTTTCAGACATTTTAAATCCTTCTGGGATTTTCATATAAATATCACTATCTAGTGATCCATATAAATATGCTGTAACCACGTCCATTAGATGCATATGCAATCTTTCTGTTACTGCCAAATGTATTATGAATCTAAATGTGGGTGCATCAATCACAGGAGAGTATGTTTCCTCATAATCAATACCAGGTCTCTGTGAGAAACCTTTGAACTACTAGTCGAGTTTTGTATCTCACGATTTCATTTTTCTCATTACGTTTTCGTACAAACACCCATTTGTACCCAACAGGATTAACACCCTCAGGTGTCTAGACTATTGGTCCAAATACTTCACATTTAGCTAATGAATTTAGCTCTACTTGTATCGCTTCTTTCCATTTTGGCCACTCATTTCTTCATCGACATTCTTCGACGTTTTGAGGTTCCGGATCCTCATTATCAATATCAAGAGTAACGAGATATGAGAATATGTTGTCAACAACAATTTCATTTCTATTCCATCTCGTTTCATAATTTAGTAAGATCTCATCATTTTCAGGTACCTTTCATCAAGGGCATGTGCCTCATCAAGGGCCACATTATCATCTGTTACCTTTGCCTCATCAACATTTATTATTTCATCATGTTTAGGTACCTGAGACTCATCAAGAGCCTCTGCCTTATCAAAGGTTATTGTCTCAGATTGATCAATAATATCTGTTACTCCTTTGGTGGCCTCTTCAGGAATGCCAACTTTTTTTTGTGATTTCCTCTTACGAGGAGCAATATCTTTTGCACCAACTGGTCTGCTACGCTTCAGGCGTGTTTCAGATGCATTTGCTGCATTACTAACAGAAGGTCCCTTAGGGACAGCAATTCGAGCTGGAATATTTACTGCTGGTATATGCAATTTTATCACTTTTTTTATATCAGTAAATGCATCAGGTAATTGATTTGCAACATTTTGCAAGTGAATGATCCTTTGAATTTCTCGTTCACATTGGTTTGTACGAGGATCAAAATGAGACAATTCCAGGGCATTC